TTTGTATCTAACAGATTTGACACAAATATTAGATGATTGCAATACGCAACTTGAAGTTTTGTGAAATTATTGCTCAAGTTATGAGCATAATTTTCAGATTATATAATCAAGACCGTGTCTTGTTAATGCTAGTGAGTATATATCTCAATATTTTAATAAGTGTTAATTAAGATGTCGATAAATGGTTTAATACTATTGTTTGTTAAATGCATCAAATTAATTTTATTGAGAATAATTTATTTCCCATTTTTATTTAGGGAATTCTATTGCACATCATACTAAAATCACAGTTCTTCCAGTTATAATCAGCTTATTGTCAGATCCTAATTTTTTCATCTAATTATTTTTTATGGTGTAGTATATGTAACAATTGAACACCATAATATATTGAGATGAAAAATAAAGAATGCTGAGAATAAGTACGTAGTTTGCACTATTATTTCAAATGGACGATATTTTATAATACTGAAAAAATGATTGTTAATTTGATTGGACAATTCTCTAAGTATTAGGGGAGGAATTAAGAAGTTGAAAATAATATATAAATGCATCGTCATCTAAATCCTCATTAAATATCATTCGAACCAAAAGTTCGAAAGATAATTTATTTAGATACATTTATTGATCAAAGAGATCAACAGTATCTCACACACCAATTTTCAATGCTCCAATACGAATTGATGTCTTAGGGGATAATTTGTTAACATTATATTTGATATATTTATGGCACGCCTGAAGCGTGATAGTGTTCGATTCAAATACAAAAACCTTCAAATGAAAATGGAGCAATTAGCAAAGATGATTTCATTAAGAAGACATTTATTCTTAATGAATATTTAGATATAACAAATTATAAAACTCCAAAAGAAGTTTAGATACCTAACATGTTGAAAATTGATATATCTAAATAAGTTATGTCACTATGATAGACAGTATCATATGTGAATCGTGAGGAATTGAAATAAATACATCGAAAAATATCGATCAAAATAATGTTTGACCAAATAAAAGGAGACACAATCTTAAATTGAATTTACTAAATAAACACGAAATTTTTGGACTTGTAATCCGAAAATCTAATGGTATACACTTATACGAAAATGACATGAGAAAAACCAACCAAAAACTTCGGAAGAAATCACATTAGAAAAGATTAATCAATCAAATATTGAAAATATAGTTCCCGAAGAACCACAAGTATCCGAAAATAATGAGATTTCAATAAATTATATACTATCTTATAAATTATGGGAACGAAATAATGTTATTATATACAATATTTTCATCTTTAATATGGCTCTTGATATTATGCAAAATGAGGATCCTGAGCCACAATCGGTTAAAGATTGTCAAAATAGAAATAATTAGCTAAAATAGAAAAAAGCCATATAGGCGAAATTAAATTCTTTGGAGAAACGAAAAGTGTTTGGACCTGTAGTTCGAACACTTGAAAATGTAATTCCTGTTTGATACAAATGGATTTTTGTACGAAAGAGGAATAAAAATAATGAAATTACAAGGTACAAAGTCGGACTAATAGCTCAAGGTTTCTCACAAAGACCAGGAATTGATTATAAAAAAACATATTCTCTCATAATGGACACCATCACTTTTAGATTTTTAATTAGTTTGACTGTGTCACAAAAACTTGATAGTATGTATTATGGATGTAGTAACTGCATATTTATATGGTTCACTTGATAGTGACATATATATGAAAGTCTTTAAAGGACTTAAGGTGCCAGGAACAAACGATACATGCCTGAGAACCATGTTCTCAATTAAATTGTAAAGATCATTATATGGATTAAAATAATTCAAACGCATATGGTATAATCGCCTTAACGAATATTTGTTTAATGAGGGTCATAAAAATGACGATATCTGTCCATGTGTTTTCATAAAGAAAACAAATAGTGGATTTGCAATTGTGGTAGTTTATGTTGATGATTTAAATTTAATTGGAACTCCTGAAGAGCTCAACAAAACTGCTGATTATTTGAAAAATGAATTTTAGACGAAAGATTTGGGAAAAACCAAATTTTGTCTTCGATTACAGATTGAACATTTCGCAGATGGATTATTTGTTCACCAATCTACGTATACAGAAAAAGTTTTAAAATGTTTTTACATGGATAATGCACATCCATTGGCATCACCTATGGTTGTTCGATCACTTGATGTGAAAAAGATCAATTTCGTCCACTTGAAGATGATGAAAATGTTCTTAGTCCTGAAGTACCATATCTTAGTGCAATTGGAGCATTAACTTATTTTACAAATTGCACTCGACCTGACATAGTTTTCTTTGTAAATCTCCTTGCAAAATATAGCTCTACACCAACTCAAAGACATTGGAATGACGTTAAACATATTTTTCGTTACTTAAAGGGTACCATTGATTTGAGATTATTTTATTTTCAAACGTCGGGATCTGCTTTAGTGGGATATGCAGATGCATGCTATTTATCTTACCCACATAAAGTTAAATCACAAACAGATTATATGTTTACACATGGAGGAATGACTAAATCATGGAAATCTGTGAAACAATCCTCAATAGCAACATCTTCAATGAAGCAGGCTGAGAATGTGTATGGTTGAGAAACATGATTCATCATATCCAAGCATCATGCGGATTAATTTCAATAAAGGACAGTCCAACTATTTTGTATGAAGACAATGCAGCTTGTATTGCACAACTCAGAGGAGGCTATATCAAAGGTGACGGGACGGAACACATTTCTCCAAAATTCTTTCATACACACGAGTTTCAAAGAATGTCGACATTGATATCCAACAAATTCGCTCAAGTGACAATGTGACCGATTTATTCACAAAAACACTGCCAACATCTACATTCAAGAAATTAGTCCATAAGATTGGAATGCATCGATTCAAAGATTTTCAGTAATCAATATCAGGGGGAGTAGCTGTACTCTTTTTCCTTAACTTAGGTTTTGTTCCACTAGGTTTTCCTAGCAAGATTTTAACGAGGTAGTATTTTTTTTTTAATACTCAAAATTAACTGTACTCTTTTTCTTTCATTTGGTTTTTTTCATTGGATTTTTATCAAACAAAATTTTAACGAGACAAATATTTTGTAATATGTCATTCAAAGGGGAGTGTTGTAAACGGAAAGTTTATAATGGTTTAGAGGTGAATGACAATTATACCCCTACAGCCATAGAAATAATTACTATTGTATCCCTGATTCCGCCCTATAAATACAGGGCTTTGGTTCTTAATAAAACACACACAAATCTACTGACTTCTCTTTGTTCTCTTCTCTTTTCTTCACTTTTATAACAAATTTTAAAATTTCACTCTTTTAATAAAATGTGACACTATCACTTTTCTGAATGGAAATTGACGCAATTTCACTACTCTTTTTTTTTTTTCCTTTTCTTTTTTAACAAAGTTACTAATGTCATTGATTTTACACTGGGCGATCACCCACGTGAATGTTTAAGGGCAATCATCATTTTGGTGTTTGTCACTTTATTTGAGTGTTTGTCATTTTTTTATTTTTTTAATTTGTGTCACCTTTTTTAATTTGTCACTATTTTTATTTTTATATTTTTTGAATTTTTGCCACTTTCTTTCACGTTTTTGAGTGACAAACATTACCTTTTAATAAATTGGCATTGTATGTAATTTTTTAATAAAATAAGTGACACTTAATTTTAAAATGAGACATTGTGTCTCTTTTTTTTTTTTATCTTTCATATTAAAAAAGTGACAATTAATTTTACAAATAATTTTTACTTTCAAAATATTTTAAATATATTTTTTGTAAGTTGTCTAGCCAAGCCACACTGGGGTTTGGATAGCCCAAATCTCTAAAGCCCACCCTCAACAACTTTTAACCAATTTGAGATGGGAAGCCAAACTCTGTCGTTTTATGATCTAATTCAAAATTTTCGTTTCTTCTGCCCAAGTGTTCAGACTCTGTCTCTGTCTAGGGTTTTACTCCACTCTGTAAAGGCTTCAGTGTAAGAATTTCAAATTCTTCTCTCTATTATAATCTGTTTGAATAAATTATGTGTGGGCATGTATTTATGTATGCATTGAACACATATTTTCTCAGATCTGATTTATTTCTCTCACGCTACTGCGTCTGATTTTGGTTTGAATTTAACTCTTTATTTTGTCAAGCTCAACAGAGGTATTCTGTAACTTTAGCGAAAAGGCGTAAATAAGTAATTTTTATTATCGATCAAAATTAAAAGTAGGTTACTTTATTTATTTATTTTTATTTTTACAGTAATAAAATTTATTTGTGGAAACCGAAACAAAAAGTTACTTATAGTTAGTTTTAAGCTTAGCTAATATTATATTTGGTTTTTAGTTTTCAATGTTTTCTGAAGATTCTTTTTGAACTGTTACAGCTTCTCTTTATTTAATTTGATGTACTCCTGTTTCATAATTTATTGTTGAGACAATTAATATTATTTTCTTTTACATTATCCACGGAAATCTGTGCATGGAATAGTTATGGAAAAAGGGGGAGGACTGATATACTGACATGAGCGAATGTCTAAAAACTGACCTTTAAGTTGTTGATTTGAGATTTATAGAATGCTAAATTTGATGTTTCCCTGGACAACGGAGAATAAAGAGAAGCATAACAATCAGAAAGATTGCTGGAAAAAGGAAAGAAAGAGATAAACTTGTTTCCTTAGCAAATACACACACACACATATGTTTTTTTTTTTTTAAAAGAATTTATATCAATAGTTGGAAGCAAGGGGAGACATCTGTTTATATGTCATGTCTTTCTGGAAAAATGGTATTGTTTCTTTATGGTTTTTGTTTGGGAATGCGAGATGTGATTCCAAGAGTTTATTCCCAAACAAAAGTCCAATTGTTTTTTTCTGTGTGCCAGTTCGAGATCTTATTCCACGAGTTTTATTTGCTTGTGATTAGAGGTATCTCTAGATGAAGATTGTTTACGTCCAAAAATCCTTAATTTGAGATTGAAGATTATTATCGTGCAGGAACCCAATGCCAATCTTTTGTGGTAACCTGGACTTTGATGCTCGCCAGTCTGATGTTGAACGTCTTTTCAGAAGATATGGAAGGGTGGAGAGGGTGGATATGAAATCTGGTAACTTCGAAGCTTTATTTTCCTTAGATCAGCCCTTTTGTTTATAAGCAATGGAACGATGAGTTTTTTTTTTACCAAATGAGTCACTTGGTAGAGCTGTCCTCCCTCGAGGCCTTTATTAATCACCTCAAAGATTACCCTTTGAGTCTCATTGTCAAGACTTGAGCCTTGAGACGACTGAGTGTGGATTTGCTAGTCTTGCCCTTTTGGGGATTTTCATTTTTTTCCTTAGCTTTTTTGGGTTGATACTTTCGTGCCTTAGAATGCTTGGAGGGTTTTAGGAATTTTTTTTTCCAACACCATCTCACCCTGCAAACTAGAAAAATAGAATTAGAGTATAGAAAACAGAACAAGTTGACGTAGCGTGCATAGCCTCGTACCATTGAAGTGCAAGAAACCCTTCTAACTGAAGTTGCAACTTACCGGGGTAAACAGCGGTTGCTAGAGGCCTAGTGAATGTAACTCAATCCTTTTCTTCTTTTATATTTACTCTTTTTGTTCTTAACTTTTCTCTTGTTTATTTCTTTTTTAACATCAAAGCAAACAAAACTCTTGAACAATTTGTTAATTTATGTTGTGGATTAAGGGTTCCTGTTATGTGATTGCTACATTTTTTTAATTTATTATTTGAACTCTTTGATGAACCATTTTAATTTTTGAGTTGCAAATTAGACTTTTAATGCTGTTGAAACCTTTTACCATGTAATATGAATTTGTAGATAGTTATGGTTTTTGTTTATTAGTATAATTTTGTACTTCTGTAAGTACTGATTTTTTTTTTTTTTTTTTTATTGATTTATTTAAGGCCCAGGCATCAAAGTGCCTCCTGTCTCAGAGGAAAAGTGCCTTGAACTTGAAATAACCTTTCTTTAACCTGCTTAGTAGCATTTTGTATTTTGGGACTCTGTAGCTATCCTTGCTTTGGGCTTATCAACAATAAAAAATAAAAAATAAAAAAATAATTGAAAAACAGCATACTGGACTGGTGCAACCATTAGAAGTAAGAGCTAACCTGTGTTTGCAGCAACCTATTTAGATGCATCTTTAGAATTTCAATTTCTTGGTCACTGTATTCATTTAGCAAGTACGGTGGTACTTTTCACCTCTAAGGTGGTTGATGGCCTAAGCATTTGCCTACGTCAATTCCTGTGATGAACAAATGCAGCGTAAAGTAACGACAGAAATATATTAAATGTTGTGCTTGTATAGTTATATTTAATCTCATTCTATCAATAATGGGATGTTGCTTCAACAGAGCATTCACAATGATTAGGAGAGTTCGTTTAGGATGATGCTGTTATAGACTCTCCATTTGCTTTATTGATTTACATATTTGCATAGAGACGTAATAATGATCCCTCAAGTTGAGTAACATTGGGGCCCAGTCAAAATTTAATGAATTATCAATCCAAGAACAGCTTGTTGACCTCTTCTGGTACCTGCCTCATTGCACACTGACAGGGCCCTATGGTTGATGATTATTGAATAAAAAAACTAGAGATTTGTTTCAAGTTTCATTGGGCAACTTCTCCCATATTCATTACAAGTCTGTATAATGTGATTATTTTGTCAAAATCACTTTTGGTGCTCAATGCTGAGAGATTTTCATTTATGCAATTACTTAAATGTGATAGGAGGTAGGTTTCATTTCTATTAGCTTAAGATTATGCTAGGCGATGGGGATATATTTTGAAATTGTTTCTTTTCCTATGACAAAGGGGAAAGCCCTCAGCTGAAGTGAAAGAGCTAATTGTTCTGTTTTTCTGATTCTTAAATATCAAATATTTTGTGCATGTCATGTTACTGTGAGAAAAGAAGGTTTTTTTTTTTCTTTTTTTTTTTTTGGGTAGTGAAACCCCCAAGCTCAATAGTTTCTTTGGCGCAGGATCACTTGGAAATTCCATGATCTAACTGGAAGGATGGTTCTCTGCATTTATTTAGTGACTTGTACCCAAGATGCATGTTCTTGTGTTTGTTCAAAAGAACCAATATGCTCTACGATGGTCCTACAATCCTTCAATTTCCTGAGACCATTACCTTTGCATTTCTTCTGTCTTTGCTCAGTATTCAATTTCCGACATGTTCCAACATAGATATAAAGTTCATCTCGGATCCAGTGGCAGGTGTTGTGTTTCCTCCATACAGATTTTCCATTCCCCCACCCTTTGACTTGCAGGGGTTTTGAGTGGTAACAATTGTTTAGTCAACGATGTGGTAAATTTAGTGTCTTTGCTGGAGGAATGTTGACTTAAAGTATTTGTATTTTCTCTGCCAACTTAATGATTTGGCTTGGTTTCTTTTAACTTTTTGGGTTTTATAGGCTTTGCTTTTGTCTATATGGAAGATGAGCGTGACGAGGAGGATGCGATCCGGAGACTTGACAGGATAGAGTTTGGTAGAAAAGGTCGCCGACTTCGTGTTGAACTGACAAAGGTATATATATATATATGCAGTGCCTTGATTTGATGCAGTTTGAGTGCAGTACAACTGATAACACACTACAACTTCGATTGCTTTGACATCTAATCGTATGTTGATCTTTCTGAGTTTTAGCACAAAAACTAACCTATCAATTTGATTAGCAGCAAGAACGTGGTGGCAGGAAGCCTGATAGATCAAGAAGATCTGCAGCTAACACAAGACCAACAAAAACTTTGTTTATCATCAACTTTGATCCTATCAGTACCAGGACCAGAGATCTTGAAAGGCATTTTGAACCATATGGAAAGATATCTAACATTAGGATTCGAAGAAATTTTGCATTTGTGCAATTTGAGTTGCAGGAAGATGCTATCCGTGCATTAGAAGCAACAGACAACAGGTTTGTCTTTTAAGACATTTGCATGCTATTGTATTATTTGAAATGACTGGTTGAGGTCATATAAGAACTTGTATTGATCTCAATATATATGCGCCAATTTATAGTAAGACAATCTCGTCAGAGGCAAGTCTACTACCATGAATATCTTTCAAGAGACTTCAAGAAAGGGACGGTTAAATGCATATGCGGACTTTCATGCTAAGAGCATTGGTTAATCAAGATTTCTTGAGTCTCGAGCACTACATTTCATATTTATCTTTTTTTTTATAATCTCAAGACAGCAATCTCTTGTTATCCATCTCCCATTCCTTTTGTTAATCTTTGCTGGGCAGCCTATAGTATTGACTATTCGTATTCCAGATACTTCCTGAAATGTACTCTTGTGCACGAGTCTTCTCACCTCAGTTAATCATTTTCTTCCTATCATAATTTTATGGTTATTATGAGATGCTTAATGGTTTTACTTTGGTTCTTCCTACTCTCGCTTACAGCAAGTTCATGGATCGAGTTATTTCAGTGGAGTATGCTATTCGTGATGATGATGACAGAAGAAATGGGTACAGCCCTGATCGAAGAGGTCGTGATGTCTCCCCCGATAGACGAAGCTATGGTGCGGGTCGTTCCCCAAGTCCTTATCGTAGGAATAGGAGTAGTCCTGATTATGGACACGGATCAGTCCCTGATTCTAGATCCAAGCTAAGTCCTAGTCCTGATTATCGCAAAGCAAGAAGCCCTGTCAATGACAGATACAACAGGTTAAGGTTTTCCAAACGCTTTATTTATTCATGCATTGTGGTTTCTGTGGCTGAATATTAACACAGTGCTACATCGTTTACCATGCAGCCGTTCATCTCCTCGTGAAAGATTTCGATCCTGAGAAGCATGTAAGAAGAGTTCCTTGCATTTTCTATAGTCTTTGTTATCTGCTGTTGATTTCTGTCTTCCATTGCCATCTGTTACACTTTATTTGAACAAGGTTAATCAACTAGTCATTGGCATGATTCTGGTAGAGTGAAGAATTGTACTTCTTTTAATGCTGTAAAGCAGAAAAACGTAAGATTTGAGTTACTGGTAATGGTATGCCTCTTCTAGTTTATGTACAATTTACATTTTTTAATTTGTGGAGCTTAAAATGTTGGATTAAATGTCTTTCATGACAATCTGTTTTTAGTTTATCTTCTGATCTTTGGTCATTGATCCGAGGACGGCGGGGCCCTGTTTGTGAATTTAGTATAAGATGTTCCTCGTCGCCACCGTTTTCAGCCAAATATAGGCTGATGCTCGGATTCGACAAATGGTTCAGTTCTATCTATAGCTGTTTCGTAGGGGCTTTTTTCAATTCATTTTGGGGGAGCATTGAATTTCAGTGCAGGCTTCTTCAAGAGACTTATAGTAGACTTCAAATACAAAATGTTTAAATCTAAATTCCAAGTTGGGAAAGTTAAACCTATTATCTATACGTAATTTATACAGTCCTATTAAAATTAAGGAATATATTATTGAATTCACCTGACTCAGTAGTAAAAAAAAAATTTCTTTAAATTTAAAAACTCTCTATAAATAGAGTTTGTTAGAGATATTTTAAGGTTGTAATTGCATGGAGCATTTTTAGCTCTAGCTGCTGGCCATTGCATTATCGTGGTATTCTTATGTTGGACCATTGGATTAGTCGAGTACGTATTCAAGTTTCATTGTCATTCAATTATTTGACTCAGAAACTTTAGATGAGCTGATGGCGAGATCGGTTTCTTGTTCGAGGTTCAAGAGAAAGGAGAGGAACCACCGATCAACAGTGCTTTTTCGAAAGTACGGTCACCGGTGGTTAATACCTTCTCGACAGTATCGAACCTAAAATCCACTTTCAATTGCTCTTTTTAGGTAGAAGAGAGCGCCAAGAAACAACATAGACCTATCTATACGTTTGACAAAAATGTGTCTTGTTGAAGGTGGGCGATGTGTTGAACGGAGAAAATTAAAGTTGTAATAAAGTGGATTAAAATGTTGTAATTATATTGCGTTTGGTGTTACATTACGTGAAAAAAATACACTTGTTACTTGTATATGGATTATAACATATTCTACGGAAATTTACAAAATATGTGTTACACTTTACACAACATAATTTCTAGGGTAAACATGATTCCATTTTTTGGTTTTTGATTCCAAAATAATTGAACCGAACCATGAACAAATAATTTTTTTGATATTGCAACCAAATGATTTATTTATTCATTCATTTTTAAGAAATGGAACCAAATTGGAATCGAACCATTCAGTTCTGGTTTGGTTTGATTATATTTTAGTTTCATTTCTTAAATTTTCAGATTTGAAACGTATCTATAAGTTAGTAATATATACCTAAATAGAAAGAAAATAGATATAAAATATTTAGCATTCAAATCAAGATTACAAAGGTCCAAACTAACAAACAAAAATATAATCATTATTTGAATATATAAATCAATTATCATTCCTGTACAAAAAAAGATTATCTAATAAGTAATAACAATTATTCCCTAAATTAATTGTAGCAGTTTTGATGACACACGCCATAATAAAGAATGCATTATGCAAAAATTTTACAATCCACTTTTACAGGCATCTATTAATCATTTAATGTCCTATGAATATTTATTAGATTTTTCTTTTGTTTGTGAAGAACACAAATAATTCATCAAACAATTAAAAAAAAAAAATAGTTTAAAGGATTTTTAAGCGACTGACCAATTCCATTTTCCGATCTTGAAAGAGCCTATTCCACTGACTTGATGAAATGTGGTGCGGCCGTGTAAAATGAAAAGGTGTTAGAGAGAAATGATTCATATAAATACAAAATTAGGGTGTACAAAATTAATGGGTTGTTTCGAATGAATACAATATTAGGAACTCCACTAATTAATATATAAAATTTTAAAATTAAGTTTGGTTATAGTTCTAGTTCTGATTTACGGTTCTAGAACTAGAATCAAACCAGAACCAAAATCATCAATTTTTTTAAGAATCGAATTGAACTACTTGATTAGGTTTTAATTTGATTTGATTTAGTTTGGCCATTTTGTCCACCTCTAATAATTTCTAAATTTATACGCATTTTAAAGCATGGTAATAAAAAACTCTTACCAACTTGCCATTGAAAATCAATAATCCTAATTCTAAACCGCAGGCCCTGTTTGAGGGCAGGCACCCTGCGTCCCCCGGACAAATTGGCCATGTTTGCCAAGCATTTCTCATTAAAAATAGATAAATAGACCAAAATCAATACTTGAAAATAACAAATCATCAAATTACATTATGTCGCACTTTACATGACGAATTTTTTGACCTTTTTTTAAAAACTGCAATTACTATTTCATTTTCGTCTAATTTTTTTTTTTTTTTTTTAATTTTCGTTTCTCATTCACCTATATATATATTTATGACCGTGAGTATCCGGATCAGATTAAGCCTACCTCAACTAATCCCATGAGGCCCTAAAATTTTGATACGAACCCGATAGCAACGAACACTAACGAACCAACAACTAGATTGCCACAATTCCCAAGAACGCCAAATAATCGATGGTTTTAGATTTAATCACCAATCAATGAACTAAGCAACTAAAAGTCTATAAACTAATGACCTTTTAATTACATGGAATAAGGATTTCACCAAGATAATTGTGAACGCCACAAGAAATAATGAATTTCTTGATAAATTCAATTGTTCTAGCAAGAACAAAGATTAGAAGCAAAGTCCCTCCTTTGATAAAATCTCTCAAATTGTCAAAAGATCCATACAATGGAAAATAAATCCTATTTATATGAAACAATAAAAAACCTAATTAAAATTGGTAAAAGACGTCCAAAATAATCTAATAATATGGAAAGATTAGGATTCTAAGTAAAATAGGAAACTCGCGCAAAAATCAAGTCTCGACCCCGAAAATGGTCTATGTGACCGCATCATGTATTTTCATGCGGTCGCATAGATCACACGAACTGCTTGCTCAAGATCCCTTCTGCCCTCCATGAGGTCACATGGCTGGGACAAACATGCGACCGCATGGCTGTCCGGCTGGACTCCTACATGCCAACACCCGGTTCATTTTGATCCCCTTGCTTCGGCCTTCGTCTTTAACTCCCTTCTGGGACCTTGGCTTATCATCTTCACTCCTTTGATCCTCAAAGCTCAACCAAGCATTTGTGTGCCTTTTGTTAACCTCCCGAAGTCTCGAACCCGACTTTGACTTCTTCCAATCTATCACCAAATTCTTGATTATTGGCAGCGCACTCCGAGTCATATCCCCTTCTTCTTCGAAAGGATTCGTCCGCGAATCCAAAACTTCAAGATCAAATTTGCACTTCTCGCCTTCAAGCTTTGCAATGCTATGGCATGTTTTATGCTCCTCCCATTTGCCACCTTAGGAAAAGCTCATCTTTATGTCCTGCTTTTCATCTGCTAGAACCTTATCCAACCCTTGCTTGGGAATCTGATGCTTCGCTAAATTGTTGTTGAATGTTCCTTCAATGCATATAAAGTCCTCCAATGGAAATGCATCAACTGGATGCTCAAATGGTGTCACCCGTTTTTGGAAGTCCCCATGTAGCAAGTTTTCACATTCCTGCATAAGAGAGATATTCAAACTGGGGAGGAATTTGTTAGACCTCACCAACTCACTCTCGAGCTCACTCTTTTTTGCAAAGAAGCTCAACTTACCATTTTCTCTTCTCTCAATAGGCTTCTTTTTTTATTTTTTATTTTTTATTTTTTTTTTCATGTGGCTCTATTCGATTTTTCTCACATTTAGTCACCTCTCCATTTTCTCTTGAGCAATCTTTTTGTTTCTCTTTACCTTTTCTCTCGTTCTCATCCCTCAACCTCACTTGATCTTCATACACTTGCTGCGGTGTCAATGGTACAAGCATGATAGTTATTTTTATCTTTATCAAAGCTGTACCTACTTCTAAACCCATCATGTTTAACCCTTTTATCATATTGCCAAAGCCTACCCAATAAAATGTGACCCGCATGCATTGGCACAACATCACACAATACCTCATCTTTATATTGCCTAATTGAAAAGTTCATCAAAACCCTCTTATTTACCTTAACTTCTCCACGATCATCAAACCATTGTAGTTTATACGGTTTAGGTTGTCTTATTGTTCTCAGCCCTAACTTCTCAACTAAAATGGTACTAGCAATATTAGTGCGATAACCTCCATTAATAATTAAACCACATACCTTATTCTCCGCGTGGCATCTAGTGTGAAAGATGCTTTCTCATTGCTTCTCCTCTTCATCCACCTTGATTTGTGTATTGAGTGCACGCATTAGCACAAGGGCTTCACTGTCCACTGCATGCTCCAACACTTCATCATCACTAATATCCTCTAGTTTGGGCATCCCATCTCCATCTCCATCACTAAATACGTCTCCGTTAGCACTCAAAATCATTACTATCTTATTAGGACATTGAGATGCAATGTGGCCCTTTCCCAAGCATTTGAAGCATTTAATGTCCTAGCTCCTAATAGTTTGTGACTCTGCCTTTGGTGGTTCCTTGCCAGTATTTTCTTCCTTCCTCCTTGGCACTTCAGCTTTATTGTTTGCAATAGCCCTGTCAACCCTGTCATCATACCCTCTCAACCTCCAAGCTGAGTTAGGCCCCGATTGATTTCTAGCTGTCCCCTTTCGCTTCAACTACCGTTCCACCTTCATGGCCACATGTAGCATATCCTCTAACTCCACATAGTGCTACAACTCCACCACATTAGCATTATCCCTGTTCAACCCATTCAAAAAATGAGCCATAGTCGCTTCTTGGTCCTCCTCTACGTCTGCCCTAATCATCAAGATTTCCATCTCCTTGTGGTTGTCCTCTACACTTCTAGAAACCTAATACAACCCTTGCAACCTTTTGATGAAATTCCCTATAGTAATGACTAGGTACAAATCGTTTTCTCATCATCGCCTTCAACTCATCCCACGTGTTGATAGGCCTCTCCTGATTCTTACTTCTTGACGTCACAACCTGATCCTACCAAGTGATTGCGTAGTCAGTAAATTCAAGGATAGCTAACCTCATCTTCTTCTCCTCAAAATAATTATAACACTAAAAAATAAGCTCCACCTTTTTCTCCCATTCTAGATACGCCTCAAGGTCACTCCTACCCTTAAA